ACTTCCCGAAAAGTCGATAACTACTCTTCCCGAAAAGTAGTAGTGGTACCTATCTATTTTTCGAAAGTAGATAATCCAAACTTCCTGGAAAGTAGATATTTCCCTACTTTTGCCATGCATCCCCGTTTAGATACCTACTTGCAAAATTAGATAATATTTCCAAAATTGAAAATCTACTTCCTCGAAAGTCGATAATCTACTTTCCCGAAAAGTAGAAAATCTACCCACCTCGGGAAAAGTAGATAACCAACTTTCCGGAAAAGTAGATATTTCCCATTTTTTATGATACAAATTTCCCGTTTTCTATGATAATCTACTTCGCAAAATTTGGGCAATATTTCCTGCAAAATTCGAAAATCTACTTCCCTGAAAGTCGATAATCTACTTCCCTGAAAAATCTATCTACTTTCGGAAGTAGATAAACCAACTTTCCCGGAAAGTAGATATTTCCCATTTTTGCGATACAAATTTCCCGTTTTCTATGATAATCTACTGCAAAAATTAGTAATATTTCCCCAAAATTCGAAAATTTACTTCCCCTGAAAAGTCGATAATCTACTTTCCAGAAAAGTAGAAAATCTCAGCCCACTTTTCGAAAGTAGATAACCAACTTTCCCGGAAAGTAGATATTTCCCATTTTATGATACAAATTTCCTGTTTTCTATGATAATCTACTTCTGCAAAATTAGGTGCAATATTTCCCCAAAATTCGAAAATTTACTTCCCGAAATGTCGATAATCTACTTTCCAGTAAAGTAGAAAATCTATCACTTTTCGGGAAAGTAGATAACCAACTTCTCTCCTGAAAAGTGTATATTTCCCATTTTTTTTAAGTACAAATTTCCCCTTTCTATGATACCTACCGCAAAATTAGGTAATATTTCCCAAAATTGAAAAATTTACTTCCCCGAAAAAGTCGATAATCTACTGAAAAGTAGTAGGTTTCTATCTAATTTTCGGGAAAGAGATAACTAATCCTCTCCCGGAAAGTATATTTCCCATTTTTATGATACAAATTTCCCGTTTTCTATGATAACTACTTCGCAAAAATTAGATAATATTTCCCCAAAATTCGAAAAATCTACTTCCTCGAAAAGTCGATAATCTACTTCCGAAAAAAGTAGAGGGTCTATTCATTTTTCGGGAAAGTAGATAACCAACTTTCCCGGAAAGCAGATATTTCCCATTTTTATGATACAAATTTCCTGCTTTCTATGATAACTACTTCGCAAAATTAGGTAATATTTCCCCAAAATTCGAAAATTTACATCCCGAAAAAAGTCGATAATCTACTTTCCCGAAAGTAGGTAATCTATCACTTTTCGGGAAAGTAGATAACCAATCCTTCCCGGAAAGTAGATATTTCCCATTTTATGATACAAATTTCCCGTTTTCTATGATAATCTACTCTGCAAAATTAGGTAATATTTCCAAAATTCGAAAATTTACTTCCCCGAAAGTCGATAACTCTTCCAGAAAAGTAGTAGTGTCTATTTTTCGGGAAAGTAGATAACCAACTTCCTTGAGTAGATATTTCCCATTTTTATGATACAAATTTCCCGTTTTCTATGATAATCTACTTCTGCAAAATTAGGTAATATTTCCCAAAATTCGAAAAATTTACTTCCTCGAAAAGTCGATAATCTACTTCTTCCCGAAAGTAATTATTTCATTTTCGGGAAAGTAGATAACCAACTTTCCCGGAAAGTAGATATTTCCCATTTTATGATACAAATTTCGTTTTCTATGATAATCTAATACTTCGCAAAAATTAGGTAATATATTTCCAAAATTGAAAAATTTACTTCCCCTGAAAAAGTCGATAATCTACTTCTCCCGAAAGTAGTAGTGTGTCTGAGTTTATTTTTCGGTGGATAACCAACTTTCCCAAGTAGATATTTCCATTTTTATGATACAAATTTCCCGTTTTCTATGATAATCTACTTCTGCAAAAATTAGGTAATATTTCCCCAAAAATTCGAAAAATTTACTTCCCCGAAAAAGTCGATAATCTACTTTCCCGAAAAGTAAAATCTATTTACCTTTCGAAAGTAGATAACCAACTTTCCCGGAAAGTAGATATTTCCCATTTTATGAGATACAAATTTCCCCGTTTTCTATGATAATCTACTTCGCAAATTAGGTAATATTTCCCCAAAATTCGAAAATTTACTTCCCTAAAAAGTCGATAATCTACTTCCCGAAAAGTAGAAAATTATCTACTTTTCGTAGTAGATAACCAACTTTTCCCGAAAAGTAGATATATTTCCCATTTTTTATGATACAAATTTCCTGTTTTCTATGATAATCTACTTCTGCAAATTAGGTAATATTTCCCCAAAAATTCGAAAAATTTAATTCCCTGAAAAGTCGATATCTACTTTTCCCGAAAAGTAGAAAATCTATCTACTTTTCGAAAGTAGATAACCAACTTTCCCGGAAAGTAGATATTTCCCATTTTCTATGATACAATTCTCTCTGTTTTCTATGATAAGTAGATAAACTTTCCCAGATAGAAATATTTCCCATTTTCTGTTATACAAATTTCCCTGCTTTCTATGATAATCTACTTGGAAAACATGTTAATATCTCCCCAAAAAGTCGATAATCTACTTCCCATGAGGGAGGGAGGGTGGTATGAGGAGGGAGAGGGGTGGTAGGAGGAGGGAGGGAGGGTGGTAAGAGGGAGGGAGGGAGGGGTGGTATGTGGAGGGGCAGACAGAATGGGACCAGAAGCTGCCTGCTCTGCTGATGGTACAGTCGGTCGGCTGTTCACGAAGGTCAAATTAAACAAAATTAAGTCATAAGTATGTGTTTTATCAACATCATTTTAATCTTTCACCTCTTATACATCAATACAGTACAGAAGAGTGCACCAAACTGTAGTTATTAGAGGTTTGTGCAAATAAAAAAAAAAGGTACGCCACTGCACCATATTTTATGTATCTACTGTAATACCAGATAATTTACAATATATTTTCTTTATTACAAGAGACATTGTTACCAGACTGATAATATTTAACACACTAACCTTGAGATTTTGGACGTGAATGTTTATGCATGGTTTTACAATTATGTTTATCTTTTCAAAACAATCGTAGGTTTTGCTACATAACTGACTTCTGTTCTCACGTTTGAATACATTTTTACTATATTTATAGAAATATATATGATCGTTGAGAGAGTGTCACAAACTGCATGTTGCCACGTAGAAAAAAAATACTTAGTTTCCATTAACAGTATATAGCCGTTTGCTTTTAAAAGACTGTCATGGAAAGGCGTTGAATAAAACTCTGACACACCTAACACACCTGAACGAGAATGTCAATAATGCCCTTTATTTCAGACGGCAAGCAATCATAAACAGCTCACAATCAATTATGGAGACGCTGGAGCCACTGTCTCGTAGCATAATTGACAAATATAAACATCTCGCCTGATTTGACCATCTGGGTCAACGTACAGTCCTCTAAATAAAATTTCTTTTTGACTAAGAGGATGTTCATTTGACTATTCCCACCTGAACTTGAAGAGGTTTTAACAATAAGGAATGTGTATAACTGGACTGGGATTCTCAAAGGTTCGTATGTGTAGAATTGGTAGAGTAAAATGTTATCCTAGTCGGGTGCAAGTCTGACGTTCTTCTGTACCCTAGTAACATTACCATCCACGAGGAAAATTTCACGTAAGGTTATTTCTAATAATCCCGCAAAATAATTATGTGTGTTAATTTTGTCTCATAATTGGTACTTGGTGAATGGATCTGGTTTGGGTAATCTTAAGAGTAATTTTGATGTTATTATTTGAGGTCATTTTGGCACTCTGAGAAATGTTTTCATAAAGTTAAATTTTCATCTTTGGGGAAATTCAACTTAAAAACCTTTGAGAATCAGGTGTATGGTGTAACGCTGTCGGGAGTGTTGTTGTGGGGGCGTAGTGTGTGTTGTGGGGGCGTAGTCTGTGTTGTGGGGGCGTAGTCTGTGTTGTGGGGGCGTAGTCTGTGTTGTGAGGGTGGTGTGTTGTGGGGGTGTAAGGGGGTGTAGTGTTAGGGTGTAGTCTGTGTAGTCTGTGCTGGGGAGGGTAGAGCTGACTATTTGAACACCGAGTATGCCTGGTAAGGAAGGTGGGGGGGGGGGGTCACTTCCTCACAGTTCTCAACAGTAAATCCTGGACAATCTGTTTATCCAAATCAGGTGACACTTATAAACACGTAACAATTAATAAAATAAACAGTGAAGCTCCACATTTACGAGTTGACAACTGTCTCAACCAAAACCTCGTAACAGGATGATAAAAATTGCCATTTATCACTGAAACTTACAATTAAAATGGCGAGTGTTTGTTATATTATTCCTCTGATATATTAAGTGTATACATAGTCAACCAAGAAGAAAGTCTCCATTTCGTTACGATACATTTTGGTTAAGGAACTGCTGGTAACTTCCAGTGAGCACTATTACATATTGATGGACACCAAAATTCACAGTTACAGCTAAAACCTAACTCGTACAAGCTACTGCCATGCTAGGGAGACGAAGCATCAGGTCACTCTAAGCTTACATTACGATATCACATATAGAATTACACTTAAGATTACTGTCATAAAAATCACAAAACCTGTCCATTACTCCGCCCTGCACCTCAGTGGTGATTGGTGGTCTTGGGTGTCTGATGCACTCTCATTGGTTGTTTTAAAGGGATGAAAACGCTGATTGGTAGAGTCAAACGAACTTGTGATTTAAATCTAGAACCTTAATTGGCTGGATCTGATTTACACCAAACGTCCGCTTGTTTGATTGGTTGCACCCTTAGAAAATGAATCGGCCAGCGTCCACTACAACTCCACCACCACGATAAACATCAACACTGAAGCTACAGTGATGGAGTAACAAAAATTCCTATAAAAATACAATCAAATCTTCCTCATCACAGAGCCTGGGTCCAAAGGGAGACTGTCACAACTTTGATATAATGACCAATTTACAACTTTTTATGATTAACACTGACCGGGAAGGTTTTTTTTTTCCTTTTAATAACCAAAAAAAAAAAAAACGATGGATTGCTGATTTTTGTTTCGGTGCCCTTAACTGTCTGCCAGGGTGGGCGGTCAAGCGGACACCACCACTGTCCAAGAGTCGCTGGTTCGTGTCTAGCACACAACAGTCGACCCAGTTGAAAGGGGTCGCCTAACTTGACAGTAGGAGTAGTGAAGGCGGTTGAATGTAGTGCCGGCTACACTACCTCCTTGTGTACCGAAGGCTTATGTTCAGTGCACTGCATCCACACTACCCCTAACAGCCGTCAGGTTTATGACACCCACCTTCAACATACTGAGAACCTGTCATGTATACAGGTAAATCAAGGTGAAAATTGTTTACTAGACAGTGTCATTAATAACGTGAACTAAAGGTATAACTATGGGCATTTTCCTCTTGGTGTAACGTAGGCCGTATTAGAGGCCCTCACAGTGTGTAGCCCCACACACGGGAGGCTGACACTTGCAGTACACGACTTGAAAGACAAACCACATAATGTTTCTAACTTCTTTAAATTAATATAAACACGGTTGTATATATCTTCACGTATAACATAATAACTACCAACCTCTCTACCATGGCACACGCTCCCACACTCAAATATTCGTGGGTTCAATTTCCCCCTAAATAAAAGAGAACGTCTCACTGGTTCTCTTAGACTAAGATTCGTGACGTCATCGGAATGGGCGTCGATAGTACACACAGACGATCATAATCATAATTCAAATAATCTACACAGCGAGAAAACTACATCAATAAACAAGACATTAAGGATAATTTTTGACCCGGCGGAGGCTTTTGAACACTGGAACACTTTTAACAGCAGCCTAGAAGCAATCTCTTTAATTACGGGCAAAAGTTTAACGAACGAATATTTGAGAATGAGACCGTGAAGATTAACTAGTAAGTGCACTAGATATACACCAGCCATTGGAAGGTCAAAGTTTTATACACAAGTGAGCATCGTCCTTAAATATACGTACAATATGCATCATTAGTCCACACTCTCAAACACTCACTCGTAAGCTGTTTTTCCTTCCCGTAACTAAGGTTGTTTAAATGTTTCTGATTCACTCGAAAAGTCTTGTTAAATGGCATCAAAATTACACCGAAATTCTAACTTTGACTAGATATTTCTTAATCAGTAAAGGGAAAATATAACGCAGGAAACGTTGAGAATTTGACACCTACAGGTATTTCGTTAAGGTTGTGCGGGGCAGCTGATGTTATGTTGACTAGCAAGACCTAACATGGCATAATCACAGTTCACACGGCTTCTCTTGTCATATTAATTAATGTTGCTAAATCTTAAGAAATAATTTTCTGTTCTTTGGAGGCTGTTATTTGTCGTTTCCCGTTATTACGATGTCATGTTACATTATATAATAAAACTTGTATAATAATTACTTTTTGTTATGATGCTCCCCTACTTTTAACACCCGTAGTTATCATATTATTCCTTATATAATATAATTCAATACAACAACAAGGCATAACATTAAACTCACTAAACTAATGGTGTCGACTTCTCCACATACGTAACTGTCTGTGTCGTCGTAGTTATTGCCTCACCTCATACAATAAACCATTTATTATGACACAACATCTATGAATATACACGTGTGATATTTCAACTCGAACGATACTGGACTTAGCTTTGATTATGTAAGAGTCCGCCATACTAGGCTTGTCCTCTCTCCATGAACACAAGATTCTCAAAGCTTCGTAAATCAGATTTTCGTCTTAAAATGTCGGGATGTGAGAACGCATCTAAACGGGTCGGCTCACTTAAGCTAAGACACAAAGCTGGCAGCCAAAAAATTGACGTCGAAATTGCACTGAGACGCTACCGTAACTAGATGTGTTCTCTGTTATCCGCACGCAAAAATAGTGGTAGTCAACTGTGTTCTTGATTGGCTGACACAAGCTACCCGGAGGTACGCTGAGGAGCCTTTGGGGAGAACGGGTCGTGGGTGTGGGATTCAGTCAGTCAGTCAGAAAATAAGTTGATATATGTAATTGAAGTAGCTAAAAAGACTAACTTACGAACCTTGAGAACCGCGACTAAGGGTTGGGCAGAAATTCCCCCCCTCAAGAAAGCCAACATTCTTACATTGATTGTCATATTTTACGAACTCACAAATGACTTGATACAGTATATCTTGCGACGGATTGTGCAAGTACGGTGAACATTCATGGCCTACGACTGTAATGAGAGGCCGCTGGTGAAGTGGTCTGAATAAACCTCATTCCTAATGAAACAAAATATAAAAAACCTCAACCATTTGAGTTCTCTGTAAAACTGATTAGATTACGCTACGGCCCTTTTAATTCTGAAGCTGATTTGACCAATTTCCATAATGGTATATTTTGTGCTTGACATAGAAGTACATTTGTATATATATATTAATATATTACCCATAATCCCAGTGATCACCCAAACCATAACTCTGTACATAACAAAATAATATCACAATCAACTACTAATAAAATAAAACTCACCGAATATCACCCATAGATAAATTAGCAAGATGTGCTGTGTTAGAAAAAATACCACGATCACGACCACTAAACTACAGTACTACAATGTTGCCTAATGTTCAAACAGCACGAACCAACCAATCACACCAAATGTAACCTGATGATACTGTGGTTGTATTGGTTAGCTTTGGTTGGTTCATCTGCTTTCAAAAAAAGTTTAGCATTCCTGTTCGTGGTATTCTTCCAACAATGGTCAATTAATGACAAAATACTTTGGGAACTTTTAGCAATACCTGACATCACTTGACGTCATAAACAGTATATTATTATTAGTTTCTAGCTGGTCAACGTTATTGGCCAAAAGTGTCCAGGGAATATTATCAGCATCTGGAGAACATTACAGTACGGTAAACTCTGGCAATAGCTCAGGCAACACTCTAATACATCTGGATACACTTAGTTTTAATCAATATAGGCCTAGTGCTAATTTTTACACCTCAACGATGACAGGCATTAAATTATATACAAAACTGAAACTAGTCATGTTATTAGATCGGGGTCATATTTATGCCCTCCCAAAAAAAGAACATTATGCTGTACACATAGTATTAGGTTATTGGGACGAGCCTCAGATGACCCCCTGGCACTAACCTGTAGATAGGTCACTGTACTAGGGGAACAACTATACACCTGGATCTGAACCCTCAAAGGTTCATGAACACCAAGACTTTCCTTCCGCAAAAGATGTCTGAACGCGTCTACGCAACTTACTTCACTTAAATCGCAAAGGTGGACGTAATATGACGCGTTCTCATAGCTCCAGTTAAGGTGAAATATATAAGAAAAATTAAACCGGCATAACCTTTGAGAATTCAGGACCCAAGTGTAAAGGTGTAGTTAAATGATGTAACTTACACCTCATAGTGTCATCGTCTATATATATTTACACTTATTTATACAAGCTGCTGAACCCTCAACACAACACAACGCCCTTCATCTTCCCTTCTCTTTACTCTACAGGGCGAGTCAAAAGTCTCCATACATAGGCAAAATGATCACTTTATTATACAATCACTTGTAAGTCACAAAATATGCTCTAGGTGAGCACCATTACTCTGAATGCACTTACGGAAGCGTTCCTCCCACTCATGGTGAACGCCCGTTGTTATGCGCGCACACGCATCACGAATGCGTTCCTTTAGGTGGTCCGTGTTTGGTATCTTCACCTGGTACACCGTGGCCTTCAAGTGCCCCCACAAGGGGGGTGAGGTCTGAAGACCTCGGAGGCCACTCCACGGGACCACGGCGGCCAATCCAATGAGCCGGAAACTGCTGATCCAGCCACTGGCGCACGCGGATACTGTAATGGGGTGGCGTCCTATCTTGCTGAAATTTAATGATGGCCACATAAAGCATATTTTGTGACTTACAAGTGATTGTATAATAAAGTGATCATTTTGCCTATGTATGGAGACTTTTGACTCACCCTGTATTATTTATTTTTAGGTCAAGTTGATTCGTTTTCATCTGTTCCAAACGTCCTTCACATGTTTCCGATGTTCTTTCGATGTCTGTCCAAATTATTCAAGTTTACCATAAATTTCGAATTTTTCGATTTATTAGTGTTCTTTTATTTTACATTATATTTGATTCGCGTTTTCAATATAATTTTCACCTTTTATTCCTTTCTTTTACCCATTAATTTCACAAATGTTTATTATATATGTTTTCTCAACACTCACATATTTTGCTACTTTCATTTTCCTTCGTTACAGAATCAATATTTTTGAAAAAATATCAATTTCACACCTGTCGAAACGTTTCTTCATTTGTTGATTGTAGTGTTATGGACGTTTAGTAATTTTCACATTTGCTAAGAACGTTTTCACTGTCGTGTTTACTTGAGGCCGTGCCACTGCGACACGACCTTCCTGGGGGATGCCATGATGGCCATCCAGTGTTGCCTTTGGTCATTGCTGCGCACGTTACACCCCAACGCCAGCTTACCCACATATCTATCCTGCTTCTTGTTCTGGTTCTGGTCATGAAGGGAGGATGAGTTGAGGTCCGGGGGCGCCAAGCTGAGCGAGTTGTCGTGGAAGGTTTCGGTGGACTGGAGTGACGCGTCTGAGTTGGTGGGCGTGACGGGGAGCTGAGGGCGCGTGCACACCACCAGCAGGAAGGTGACGTGCTCCACCTATCAGATATAACAAGAAGTGTGATTTGCGTCAACAATGTAAATATAGAGGAAGATTATCGTCAACATTGTTAATAAACGACAAACTCTTGGAGTCAAACAACAAAACCAGAAGAATAAGTGACATGACCAGAAGTATACAGTAAGTCACATAGCCAGAAGTATAAACGAAACGACCAGCCTTTAAGTGACACGACCAGAAGTATAAGTGACATAACGAGAAGTATAAGTGACATGACCAGCCAACAACATACCTGTGACTGAGCCAAGTCAAATATCAGCGTCTCGTTCCATATAGGCGAAGCTGTGTTAGATCTCCAGGTGGTCTTCTTCTTCTTAATGACCCGACCTGACCCACTGATCAGCAGTACCCGGATGTACGGACCTGAGGGGAAAGAGAGGGGTTAGTGTGACAGTTGGATGTACACAAACACACATACACACACACAGCTCCGTCTCGCTAACCACAAAACAACGCCACGCCAGGCAGTAAACCGTCGAATATCCGTCTGACGAAGTATCTCATTGTGGGGAGGAATAGAATGCCTGGCGTTCTTGACTGCTCGTGTTGGCGAAGTGTTTTATGGCACTGGCGTTACGCTGGGTGACGTAAGATAACACCAGCACGGGCAGTAGACGAGCGAAAGTAGGACCATGGTGGCATTTCAGGGTGTGGGACTGAGGTTAGTTGAGAACGCCAGGCGATGGTGTGAGTGTGTGTGTGTTGCGTCCTGACCCTGGCTGACAGCTCTGGGGAGTGACTCGTGGCCTGATTATATTTTCCGCACCTAAATGTGAAGCTTCCGTGGGATGTGGTGACGGTGTTGTCTGTCTGTCTGTCTCACTCTGTTTCATCTGTCTGTCTCCTTATCTCTCTGTCTGCCAATCTCTTTATCTGTCCTGCGTGTACATAAAACAGTTTCCATCCATGAATTAACGCGTCACACACACACACACACACACACACACAGACACAAGAATATGGATGAAAACGAACCAGAAAAGATGAGAAAACAAGGAGAGAAAAGTATACGAAAGAGAAAGGCTGAATAAAAATCAAGACAAAAGATGGTAATAAGAGATCAATTCCTCCCCTTCCCCTATCCCACACCTTGTCCCCTTCTCTAATCCCCATTTATCCCTCCACCCTCCTTTTACCCACCACCCCACCCACTTTTGTCCCACCCTCCTCGTACCCCACCTACCACCCCATTTCATCCTAAAAAAAAAACACACACACACACAAAAACCCCCTCCTCAAACAACAATGGCGTCATAATTACACAGAGACTCTACCTTCCCCTTGAAACAAAATTACAAACACTACAGATTTTTTTTAGCCTTTAATATTGAGGTTAAGTTGTCTAAACCTCAATGGTCGACTGTTTCTTTCATTCAACTCCACAAAATGTCGAGTAAACTGTGGCAGGAATAAAGAATTTTTTTTTCTTTCTTCTTTAACTTTTGTCTGTTTTACTTTACTAAATATCTATATAACTACATGTAAGAGTTGAGGATGTAGATGGTTGGTTGGTCTATGTATTCTCGTATGTATACCAGTTATGTATATCCTGGAGCAAGGTTTAGTGTTGTCTTAATGGTCACTAATTGGTAATGAGTCGAGGCTCTGCTCCATCCATCCATCCATCCATCCATACATACATACATACATCCATACATCCATACATCCATCCATCCATCCATAGAACATGGAACTATACGGATAGATGATTTAAACGTCTGCATGTAAAAGAAAGAGAGAGAGAGAGAGAGAGAGAGAGAGAGAGAGAGAGAGAGAGAGTGTTCGATAATCGTAGTGGTCACAATAGGTGGCCTAGCACGTTCTTCACCCCGCCGATACTCACAGAAGTCCTTAAGGTCGTCCACCACGTTGGTATGCTTGAGGTTCTGGGCCTTGATCACCGACACTGAGAGCCGCTGGGCCGTGGGCAGGTAACTCAACCCGAAAAGCACCTCACCTAGGTCCTGTGAGGGCAGGTAAAGGAATAAGATTAATAATAATAATAATAATAATAATAATAATAATAATAATAATAATAATAATAATAATAATAATAATAATAATAATAATAATAATAATAATAGCAGTTCTATTGCCAGAGTTCCACAGGTAAACTACAATTTAAAAAAATAAATCACATAACAGCATTACGTCGACAGGTATAAATACATTACAAAAGGTAAGATACGGTAAGCGGTAGTCACAGTTTATCAAGAGCTCCATCCACGACAAAAACAGATTCTTAAAAGTTCTTACGTTAAATTTTCCCCTTAACTTGATATGTGAGAAGTTACGACACATAAATATATTTTGAAAGGATTTTATTTTATATTCAAATACGGTCGACTGCCTCACGTTAAGCTAGTGTCAAAATAATGACCAAAACAACATCAAATTTCACCGTGACTTTGCTAGACCTGTTGTATGCTCTCTCTCTCTCTCTCTCTCTCTCTCTCTCTCTCTCTCTCTCTCTCTCTCTCTCTCTCTCTCACACACACACACAAACACATTGTTATGCTTTTCTGTGAATCTTGTGAATAAAGAAAGAGGCAACAAAGAAGAAATATATGACCAACATAAAGAAACATAACATTCAAGTACGGCAATTCTGAGGTTTCGTACGACAATGTAAATATTGCTTTGAGGGGTTACATACCAAACAACTGCCTTTTGTTAATCACATCTAAATTAACTATGAGAATTTATAACAATTAAAAGCTCCAAAAATACATAATTATCAACAGACAAAATCTTATATAATGTTAACTTAGTAGGAGTTAGTTTAGTTACATCTATCGGGGTTATTTTTATTTTTTTTTTTTTATATATATAAAGAAAGACTGGCTGGGAGCGAGGCCAAGTCTTCCTTCATCCTGGAAATAAGAAGACTGCTGCAGAGAATAGAGTTGCCAGACCCACGATAATGGCCGGAAAAGTCGATACCAAGTATGAAGGTAAATAAATGAACCGGGCCAGGACTCTGTGTGTGTGTGTGTGTGTGTGTGTGTGTGTGAATTAAAGAAGGTATGAAGGTAAATAAATGAACCGGGCCAGGACTCTGTGTGTGTGTGTGTGTGTGTGTGTGTGTGTGAATTAAAGAAGGAAAGGGAAGGCAGGCAGAGGAGAGGAGGAGGAGGGAGGAGGAGGAAAATAAACAAGAAGGGAATGGGAATAAAATGGAAGGGAAGGGTAAGGACAGAGAGGAATAGGAAGTAGCGAAGGAGAGAGAGGTGAGATGAAGGAGGAGGGAGAGAGGAGATTCACTGAAGAGAGAGAGAGAGAGAAAACTTATGGAAGGACTGACTTAGTCTCATGTGAAATTAATGTAAATAGAACAGGTGTTATAGGGTATTAGTTTGTGTAAATAGTAAAGTACTGTGTGTGTGTGTGTGTGTGTGTGTTTACAGTGAAGGGCCAGCAGGTAATCAGTGAGAGGCTAACGACCTTCTAATGATGCTAAGGGGGGGGGAGGGAGGAGGAATAGGAAGAAAGAAAAATATGAATAAACAAGGAGGGAAAGAAATGGGGAAGAAATAAAACAAGAATGAGAGAGGAGGAACAGGAGGAGGAGGAGAATGCAAGGTCCTTCTGTGTAGATTTGGCAGAGGATTAATAGTCCGGGGGGGGGAGGTGGTGGGGGTTCTAAGGGGGGGTGGTGGGGGAGTTCTAAGAGAAGTGATGGGGGTTCTAAGGGGGGTGATGGGGGGTTCTAAGGGGGTAGTGGGGGAGGTTCTAAGGGGGGTAGTGGGGGTCCTAGGGAGGGTAGTGGTTAACTTAAGGGGTGAGGGGGTTAATGGATATAAGATGAGTATAAATGTTAAATATATAAAACTACAACTAATAATAATAATAATATTAAACCCTCACCATCGTCGTCATCATATTAAACCCTCACCATCGTCGTCATATTAAACCCTCACCATCGTCGTCATCATCATAAAAGTTATAAATGTCAAACTTAAAAAAATAAAAAATTATCTCAACTTCTTACCAATTTGGCAGGAGCTAAGAAATAGTTTAGCGTGGTCCTCTCCTCCAGTCCAGCGAAGTTTTTGATGTCCCGGAGTGGCTGAGTGACCTCCCCCACCGTCGATGGACTCGCCCATTTGTCCGAATCCATGGCCACCAGCTTCACTACCAGCTCCTGCAATACGAACGAACAATAAATGAACATATTGCAATTGGTTCTTGGTGGAAAATTTCCCCACTGTGGCAAATCCAACAACATAATTTCCCTATTGATAAAAAAAAATCCCCAAATAATTCCCCATTAGACGGGAAATTTCGGGAGATAATTTCCCTATTGGCCAAGATGCCATTTGAGCTCGCTTAAAAGTGTTGAACTTTTAAGTCAATTCTCCGCTTCAATAAAATCTCATTAGCCCCACTGCTTTACTTAAATTACTTTTTTGAATTCCACTTATAAAATCAAAGTATTCTCACATTTCTACTTAAGTGATACAATCCCCTTTACGTATCTTGAAGTCACTGATAAGTTTCGTTCGTATCTTAGAGTCACTGATAAGTTTCTTTAGGTCAATAACATACATATCCCAAATGACAGTCTTCAAAAAATCTCACCTTGATTCATTTTCCTTACATTCTCAGGCTGGATATAAGGTGAATACCCTCGAGTTTCCCAAAGGATCATGAGTTAAACAATTTTCTCTCGTAACTGGAGATGAAAGGATGTGTCTAATGTTGGTTTCTTGCTGTTTACATGTTGCTGGTTACTCAATCATCATCACCACCACCATCACCACCACCATCATCATCATCATCATATTTCTTCACCATAAAAAGAATCGTTCACTTATAATGCTAGTAAAATCTCACCTACAAAACGCCACCATTTTTTCCCACATATCAAGAGGTCTTATTTGCGGGCCACAAATAAGACATCATGTTAGGGTCATTTAACAGTGATTCAATTGATTCTATCGAGCTAAAATTCGTCCCTGAAATAGATAGTTATTTTTTGTCAGTATTTTTGTGCTTTTTATTATATATTTTTCTCCATGTATTTTAGTTTTGTGAATTTTATAATATATTTCCCGAACGAGAAATGTAATTTATGATTCACTTATCCCGTGAAATACCCCAAAATAATAAGATTCCTATCAATTTTAATGTTATTTCTCCTACTATATCACATAAATCGTATCCCGAATCGAGAATACTATTGTTATTGTTGAATTTTACTACCACGATGCGATTTCAACAGAGATTAATAGCGCACTAGTGATCACATATTGGCGTAATAA